TGTCTAGAGGGGCATGGCTAGTTAGATGTTTTAGATGTTTCTTCAACTGTTTTGAGGACTAGTGGCAAGTAAAGGACCCTCAGCTATTAAGGTGGGAAAGAGTTGAACTATGCCAAGTCAGATGTTGGCTTCTTCTCTAGAGCTCTCCTATTTCTTGGGGAATGTTAGACGGCATGCCAAAAGTCAACTTTCTCTAAAGATCTACCTGTTCCTGTTCTTCTCCACTTCTTCTCTGCATCCAGAGAAATCAATCACCTCTTCTCTCGAGACTTTTCACGTGTGCAATAGTGATAAATGAGGTCCTCTAGTTCTTCAGCTGGTGATATCCCAAAACAATGTCAATGAAGTTTACATCCCTCCAATGTGGCTCAGAAGACTCCAAAAGTCACTTGGGTGGAAATGATCTCAGTTTATTTGACCTAGAAACATCTGGCTTTGCATTTCACGTGGCTTTGGAGCTGCCAGACTTGAGTGTCTGGCCTTGAGTTCCTCCATCTTAAATCTTTCAACGACATGTCCTACAGGAGAAGGTCAGGAGGACTTTTTGAAGGCCACCAAAGTCTCCAAGTCCTCCTGAACGTGTCTCTGAGGTGGGATGGAACCCCTCAACCTCCTAGATTGGAGAAATGCCTCCATCAACTTTTTTTTCTCTCTTCTTCCACCCCGTCTTTGAGGTCAGGTCTCCGAGTTTACCCTGAGCACATTTGTCTGGACACGAGAACGGAAAGCTGCAATTTTAGCCAAAAACAGGATGTGGGATGTAGTGGTGGGCAGATCATTAGCCAAGGTCTGTTTTGCTTGCAGGCGTCAAGGAAAGAAACATTAAGATCTCCAAAATAGCTTGGACTGACCAAGAGGAAGGTGGACATTTTGTAGAAACATGGGTGTATGCGTGTGAGAGACATTTTAGAGAGACTAGTCACAGTCATTCTCAAATCCATGAAAAGTTTTGGAAGAGAAGAACCGCAGACCCTCCTAATCTAGGAGGGTCAGTCTCATTGACTGAGACTTGGGAATTGGGACCGTCTTGAGTGGGCCACCAGGTTGACCACCAGCTTGCTTCTGGTAGGCCACAAGTTCTCATGAACTTTTGCTCCTAAAGGTCTTCAGTTCACGCTGATCCTCCACCATTCCCTTAGAAACGTCATAATAGATGATACTATTAGGATTGGTCACAGGATCAACCAGATGTTCAGCCTTTAGGTCCACTCTTGAGTTCTTCTCAAGGACCTGGAATAGCCAGGTGTGGTTGTTTGAAGGCGTTCAAGGTCACATTGGCAAGCTGTTCCAAGCAAAGCTGCATTTTGCAATTGACTGGTGGGGATAGTGTCAATGCCAACAGTGTTCAAGGGATGCTCCAGATGTTGTTGTTATTATTAGGGTTGCTTGCACAGCCAGCCAGATGTTTAGTCTGGATTTGACCTTTAGGTCCATCTCTCAAGTCCTTGCCAAGGACCTGGGATAGCCAGATGTCGTTTGATGGATTAAAAATATTGGCACGGGATGTCAGCTGTTCCAAGTCAGGCTGCCTCCTGCAATTGACCGATGGGGAATTTGTCAATGCCGATAGTGTTCAAGGGATGCTCCAGATGTTTTGGAATTGCACCCAAGGCGCTATCACTATTGATCCTACTTTTGCTTTCTTTTGCCACATTTGTTCAACTTCTATTTCCAGGTCATTTTGTGATCTTTTCCAGTTCTTTCTCTTCTCTTCTGCTGCCTCCAGGTACAGGTGTCCTCAACTTATGACCACAGTTGAGCCCAAAATTTGTGTTGTTAAGCGAGACATTGGTTAAGTGAGTTTTGCCCCATTTTACAACTTTTCTTGACACAGTTGTTAAGTGAATTGTTCAGTTAATAACATGTTTGTTAAGTGAATCTGGATTCCTGCTTATCAGAAGGTCACAAAAGGAGATCACGTGACCCCGGGGCACTGCGACCGTCGTAAATATGAGTCGGTTGCCAAGCGTCTGAATTTGATCACGTGACTGTGGGGATGATGGAACAGTCATTAAGTGTGAAAAACGGTGCTAAGTTACCTTTTCAGTGTCGTTGTAACTTGGTCACTAAATGAACTGTTGTGAGTCTAGGACAGGGGTAGGCAACCTCGGCTCTTTTATGACTCGTGGACTTCAACTCCCAGAATTCCTGAGCCAGCCATTGCTCAGCTAGGAAACTCTCCCTTCCCCTCAGCATGGCTGGCTCAGGAATTCTGGGAGTTGAAGTCCACGAGTCATAAAAGAGCCAAGGTGGCCTACCTCTGGCCTAGAACTAGGCCGCTTTATGACTGGTGGACTTCAACTCCCAGAATTCCTGAGCCAGCATGGCTCAGCTTGGAAACCTCTCCCTTTCCCCTCAGCGTAGCTGGCTGAGGAATTCTGGGAGTTGAAGTCCACAAGTCATAAAAGAGCCAAGGTTGCCTACCCCTGGTCTAGGACTACCTATATAATTGTCCCAAATGAATATCTCAGTCTAATCAGTGTGTTGGGTGTTGATAACTCGTGATTCAGGTGCAAACCAAGATCCTTAGGTCTGTCTCAACTTACAATCACAACAATTTACAAAAGAAATTCCGGTCTTGATTGTGGTCATAAGACAAGAACGGCCTGTAAATCAAAGCTGTAAATTTCCAGGCAATAATTTGGGGTTGTGTGGTTGCAGTTGTTGCTTGCTTTGCTGCAGAATTTTAATATTAGAGTTGCAGGCATGTTGTTGTTGTTGTGATGTAGGCCCAGCAGAGTTAAGAAACACCTGCAACCCCAGTGTCAAAGTTCAGAAATTTTACACAGTACAACAGGCCCACCCAGAACACAGCCTTAGCTATCATCCTTCTGTTATTTCCTTCGATTGACGGCTTGTTCTTCCTCCAAAAACTGAAAACGGGCACCCCTAGCCCCCGCGGACCACCACATCCCCATCCCAGTCATGAGTGTCATAAAATCAAAATTCGGATTATGCCGCATCTTTGCAAAGGGCTAAACGTAAAGAGAAACTTTGGCGAAGAAAAAGCAGGTTGTTTTTTAATGCATTACATGCCAAAATCCACCTTGGAAGGGAAATATTCCTTGAAATATTGGCTCGGAACCTGGAACGTCTGATGTGCATTAACAGACTCATCTACCGTAAAAAAAAAACACACACACACAAAAAACAACAACATTGTCTCTCTCAAAATGTAACCAATTTTCTTTTATTATCTCATAAGCTGCTGCGTGTTACAGTCCAGCTTGGAACATGACTCTCAAAGTGGAAGCAGGCTGTAAATTACATTACTTTATGTGATAATAAAATAAAATGAGGCTGTGGAGGTTTTTATTTTATTTATTTCTCTCTGCCAAAAGGTTGGGAAGTTGATCGTGTGGGCTGGGGGAAAAAAAAAATCCCTCCATTCGTGCAGATAATGTTTTACCTCAGAAATGGGTGCCATATTGTCTAGCTTCGACAGCCAAATCAGAAGGTAGAATTGCTGGAAAAAATGTGAGAAAAGGAGAATTAACTTCTTTAAACGGGATTAAATCCAGCCAGCGAATAGATTTGCAAATTAAATGTTTTGCTCTCTGGTCTTCCAGAAGAAAGTTTGCTATATTGTCCCTATTCACCAAACCATGATCACCCGGTGGCCTACTTTCCACATCTATTCTTCTATCGCTATGTACCTAAAAGAGTTAAACCGAAAGGAGCTTATTTTGGCACTGTCTATATTGCTAATAACTGGCAAATAATTTGCAAATGGCCTCTGTAAAATTCTGTCCTTTTTTTTAATAGAGCTGCAAATACTTAGAAAAATCCAGATTTTTTTAAATACCAAGCTTTCTGCTTTTTTGCTGTCTTTCTCCCTTTTAGCCAGCTACACGGTTTTGCCAATGTTTATTTATTAAATATATCTTTTTTTGAATGACTTTTTTTTTACAGCTGAGAGGTGGCTGTGCTTGCTCTGATTTGAAGGAAGGGAAGATGGCTATGATTCTGGAGGCAGCCTAAACTGGAAACGATCCGTGGGAATTTTCTAATGATAAAGACAGGAAAGAAAGAAGGAAAGAAGGAAAGAAGGAAAGAAAGAAGGAAGGAAGGAAGGAAGGAAGGAAGGAAAAGAAAAGGAGAAGGAAGGAAGGAAGGAAGGAAGGAAGGAAGGAAGGAAGGAAGGAAGGAAGGAAGGAAGGAAGGAAGGAAGGAAGGAAGGAAGGAAGGAAGAAAAAAAGGAGAAAGGGAAAGGAAGGGAAGGAGGGAGGAAGGAAGGAATACACGGAGGGAGGGGGAAGGAAAAGGGAAAGGGGAAAGGGAGGGAGGAAGGAAGGAAATAGGAAGGAAGGAAGGAAGGAAAATAGAAAGGAAAATAGAAAGGAAAGGAACATCCATCTTCTCCTGGATGTTCTGACCTCGTCCTGGTCCTTCAGCTCTTCTAACGGTGGCTCCATCACCACCATAGACCTAAGGTGGAAGGAAAGAGAAGAAGATGAGCACCAGGTTCAGATGTCCCTACTCTGGACATACCTGATGTCTTCTCTGGAGAGGTCCCATGATGCTAGGAAAGGTGGAAGGAGAGAAGGAGACCACCAGGTTCAAATTGTCCTGATTTGGAAAGTGAAGAAGAGGAAGACCAGCAGAAGGTGGAGGGACTCAGCTATGGTGGCGATGGAGCCACCATTAGAAGAGCTGAAGGACAGAGAGCTGGGTCTTCACATCATGTGTACGAAATAGGATAATTTGAACCGAGGACAATTGTGCCTCCAATAAGGATTTCCGATCCAGCTGTTACCTTTGTTCTAAATGAAACATAGATGTTTGCCGCAAAGTGCTAACTAGACAGCACCACAACTCTCCCCACTTCACACACATATACACCAGGAAGGTTGCTGGTGACAAATATGAAATATTGATCCAGTTCTGAGACTCATTCCTGCGATTTGATTTTCATCTCTCAGGCCTTCCGGCTGTGTTTGTCACAATATGGGCAACTCTCCGAGCGACGTTAGCAGACACCGAGTAAGTGTCTGATTTTGCTCTACGTGAATTTCCTTTCATTAAAAAAAAATGTTTTATCTAACTTTGAATCCTGCGGTACAAGTTTTATTTTTTATTTCTGCACAAATTCAGAACTGAGGAAAAAAAATGCCTATGAGCTTTCTGACACTTTAAACATGGAATAGAAATAATTTGGCAAAAGTAGAGTTAGATAGATAGAGAGAGAGAGAGAGAGAGAGAGAGAGAGAGAGAGAGAGAGAGAGAGAGAGAGAGAGAGAGAGAGAGAGAGAGAGAGAGAGAGATGGGTGATGGATGGATACATATAAATATACATATACATATATATACACATTCTACATACATAGAAATATACATACATACAAATACATAGAAGGAATAGATAGATGATAGATAGATATAGAGAGAGAGAGAAAGGAGACAGATGATATAGAATAGAGAGAGAGAGAGATGGAGAGAGAGAGAGAGAGAGACAGACAGACAGACAGACAGACAGATAGATGATAGATATGGATAATGGATGGATGGATGGATGGATATATACATACATACATAGAGATATACATAGATACAAATACATAGAAGGAATAGATAGATGATAGATTATAGATAGATAGACAGACAGGGAGGCAGGCAGGCAGGCAGGCAGACAGACAGACAGACAGACAGACAGACAGACAGACAGACAGATAGATAGATAGATAGATAGATAGATAGATATAATGAGAGAGAGAAAGAGATAATAGAGAGACAGATAATAGAGATGAATGGATGGATGGAAGGATGATGATAGGTGGAAGATATAGATAGATATAGTTACTTATTTCATTCATATATATATATGAATAACTAATAGACTTGCCTCTCTAAAGAGTTGTAAACTTGGTTTCTCTCTGATCTTGCTTTAAATATTTTTTCCTTTGCTCAAATAGGTGTGAATGTATGTAATAGGCACACACTGCCTGTCTGATTGAAAAAAAAAATAATTGGCGCTTGAGGATATTTTTAATCCCAGAGTGCCATATGATTTGTTTTGCTAATAGTCATAATTTGTGTAGCCATGACATTTTTATTCCTCACGAAGCTGGCTGGTTCATTTATTACCTCAACATTGCTTTCTATTTTTTAAAAAAGATATGTATATTAAAATATTCACTCAAATTCAATGACTGAGTTATTTTTTTAAAAAAAAAAAACCAGTCAAGGGAATTTTGTAAAACCCATAGTATGAATAAAAGCTAGTGTTTTTCAAACCTGGTAACTTTTAAGATGTATGAACTTCAACTCCCAGAATTCCCTGGCCAGCAAAGGAAGCTGGGGAATTCTGGGAGCTGAAGTCCACACATCTTAAAGTTGCCAGATTTGAAAAACACTCCTAAAAGCCAACCTGTTTGGATCTGTGGCTCCTGAAATAGACAAACCTACTCTTGTTTATCCCTACTCCCTTTTTTTAAAGGGTAGACTACTCCTTTACCTGGAGGCTCAACGTCTCATAAATTTGCTTTCCCAGCCAGGTTGGGGATGATTTCAACGGGTCTTTTGATAAATGAAGATTATAGAAGTTCCTGAAAACAGTCCCTAGAACGGAAAGCTATTTTATAACAAAAAGTAAATAAATAAATCAGATTTATGAAGCAGCTTTGTCAGGATGTCCTCTTTTCTTGGCAGGTGCTGGGATTTAAGCGCCGGCTATTTCAAGTGGTTTATCCAGGTGCCCATCCTCACGGCCGTGTTGGTGAGTTGGAGCCAAGGAGAAGTCTGGGAAGGGAGAAAGAGGAGAAATTAACAGGCAGGGATCAAAAAAAATCAAAATGGCGGATGGGGTTACACAGGGAAAGCCATTCCCTTGTTTACAGGCCTTGCCTGTTATTTAAATCAGAGCTACTCAACCTCAGCAAGTTTAAGGTGGTTGGACTTCAACTCCCAGAATCCCCCAGCCAGCGGGCTTGAAGAGGGGAGGACTTCCATTCCCATAATTCCCCAGCCAGCATGGTTTAAGAAGGGTGGACTTCATCTCCCAGAATCCCCCAGCTGGCATGCTTTAAGAGGGGAGGACTAACTCCCAGAATTCCCCAGCCGGCATTTTAAGAGGGGAGGACTTCAACTCCCAGAATTCCCCAGCCAGCATGCTTTAAGAGGGGGGGGACTTCAACTCCCAGAATCCCCCAGCCAGCATCCTTTAAGAGGGGAGGACTAGCTCCCAGAATTCCCCAGCCGGCATTTTAAGAGGGGAGGACTTCAACTCCCAGAATTCCCCAGCCAGCATGCTTTAAGAGGGGAGGACTTCAACTCCCAGAATCCCCCAGCCAGCCTGACTTAAGAGGGGAGGGCTTCCACTCCCCTTCATAGAACATAAAAGTCCCAGGGCTGGAAGGGACCTCAGAGGTCATCTACTCCAACCCCAAACTGAAGGCAGGAGACCTTACAGGTAATCCCCAACCTACGACCGCAACCGAGCCCAAAATTTCTGTCGCTAAGCAAGACAGTTGTCAAAGTGAGTTTTGCCTGATTTTATGACGTTTCTTGCCGCAGTTGTTAAGTGAATCCCTGCAATTGTTAACATAATCCACAGGGTTGTTAAGCGAATCTGGCTCCCCCCATTGACTTTGCTTGTCAGAAGGTCACAAAAGGGGGATCATGTGACCCCGGGGACACGGCGACCGTCATAAGTATGAGTCAATTTGCAAGTGTCTGAATTTTTAATTTTGATCATGTGATTGTGGGGGGGGGGGTTGCTGCAATGGTCGTAAGTGTGAAAAGTGGTCCTAAGTCACTTTTTGCAGTGCTGTTGTAACTTCGAACAGTCACTAAACGAATGTCTGTAAGTCAAGGACTAGGTGTACACCATCAAAGTGGGTTGTCCAGTTTTTGAAACCTCCAGCGAAATTGCCACCATGGGCGAGAATCTCAGAGGTTGAGCAGAAATATCTTCAACAGACTGCAAGGCACAAATAACCGCACACACAAAGATACACACACAGCCCGGTGGCAGGAACGAAGCCGCCACCGTCCCTTGGGGGAGGGGTCTGCAGACCTCAACTCATCTCAGCTTCCTTCAGACATGGGGAAGACAACATTTGTGGGAAACTGAGGTGGGCTCCCCAGCCTGAGAATTATTTTTTATTTTTTTTTGCAAAACAAACCAGAGTCCACCCTGGGCAAGCCATTGTTCTGTGGTCAGTGGACCGTAAATGGAAAGATTTGTAGGGCTGGCACTTGACCCGTCATCTCCGGCCAGCTTCCTCCATTCTCACCCCTCCAAAACGTCTGGGTGGTCCAGAAAGTGGGTGGGGGCGGGAGGGGTGCAGGATAGCTGGAATAGCCTGCCGTTCGTTAGATCTCAAACCAGGTTAGCCAGCGAGCGATGCCCTCGGTTTTTGCCACCATGCACCCCCAAAGGGTTGGGGTTTTTTTTTTTTTACATCCTGGCCCTGGAGGTCTGCCTTGTCCCCATCCCATCTTCACCCCCCACCCACCCCCAAAAACATCCCTCTGGGTGGGTTTGATTCGATTGCAATTTGTATTTTTTTTCTTTCTTTCTAGATCCTAGCTGCAATGGGAGGGTTGGGGGGGGGAGGGAAAGGAAGTAGGTGTGTAATTTTAAATATATATATATATATTAAAATGTGGTATAGGTTTTGGAAAGACTAATTGCCCAAAGGGGCACTTTTATTGGTATTAAACAATTGCTCCCTTCCTCCCTTCTCCTTCCTTCCTCCCTTTCCCACGCTCTCCCACTGCTTCCTTCTTTTTTCTCCTTTTTCTCTTCTCTTTCTTTCTCCTTTTTTCTTTTTCTCTTCTCCTTCTCCTCCTTCTTCTCTTTTTTCTACTCCTTCCCTTCTCCTTCTTTCCTTTCCTTTTCTTCTTTCCTCCCTGTCTTCTCCTTCCTTCTTTCCTTTTTTCTTCCCTTTCTCCTTCTTTCTTCTTTCTCCCTTTTTTCCTCTTCTCCTTCTCTTTCTTCTTTCACTTTCTCCTTTTCTTTCCTTTTCTCCTTCCCTTCCTCCCCTCCTCCTCTTCCCTTCCTCTTTCTTGTTTATCTTCTCCTTTCTCCCTTTCCTTTCTTTCCTCCTTCTTTTCCTTTTCCTTCCTTCCCTTTGTTCCCTTCCTCCCTCCCTTCCCTTCCCCCTCCTCCCTTCTTTCCTTTTCTCCTACAGGCAAACTTTATCCTGTTTATCAAAATCATCAGAGTCCTTGCAACCAAGCTCCGAGAAACAAACGCAGGCAGATGTGATACCAGACAACAGTATCGGTGAGTTGACTGTGTCCCCCTCTCCCCAAGGGATTCCTCTCGGCCAGGATGGAGTGACAAAACAGAGAGAAAAGAGGGGAGAATTCAGTCCCTGGCATGCAGGAAGGGAGGACAGAAAGGAAAAGAAGAAAGGAAAGGGAAGGAAAGGAAAGGAAAAGAAAGGAAAGGGAAGGAAAGGAAAGGGAAGGAAAGGAAAGGAAAGGAAAGGGAAGGGAAGGGAAGGAAAGGAAAGGAAAGGGAAGGGGGAGGGAGGGAGGGAGGGAGGGAGGAAGAAAGAAAGAAGGAAGGAAGGAAGGAAGGAAGAAAGAAAGAGGAAGAAGGAGAGAAGAAAGAAGAGAGGGTGAGGAAGGAAGGAAAGAAAAAACAGGAAAGGGAAAGGAAAGGAAAGGAAAAACAGGAAAGGAAAGGAAAAGAAAGGAAGGGAGGGAGGGAGGAAAGAAGGAAGGAAGAAGGAAAGAGGAAGAAGGAGAGAAGAAAGAAGAGGGTGAGGAAGGAAAAAAAGAAAAATCAGGGAAGGAAAGGGAAGGGAAAGGAAAGGACGGAGGGAGGAGGGAGGGAGGGAGGTGAAGGGAAGGAAAGAGAAGGGAAAGGGAAAGAAAGGAAAGGATGAAGAAGAAGAAAGGTGGGGAGGAAGGAAGGGAATTGGAAGAAGGAAGGAAGGGGAAGGGGAAGAAAAAGAAAAATGGGAAAGGAAAGAAAGAAGAAAGAAATGGGAAAGGAAAGAAAGAAGATAGAGAAAGAAGAGGAAGAAAAGGAAATAAAGGAGGGAGGTGGAAGGAAGGGGAATAGGAGAGAGGAATGAAGAAAAAGGAAGAGGGAAGAAGGGGAAGGAAAAGGAACATGGAATAGGGGAAAGAAAGGAGGAAGGAAGGAGAATAGGAAAAAGGAAGGGGAAGAAGAAAAATGAAGAAGGAAGGAAGGAAAGTGAAGAGGAAGAGAAGGAGAAATGGAGGAAGGGAGAAGAGGAAGGAAGAGGAAGAAAAAGGAAGGAGAGAGGAAGGGAGCAAAGGAAAGGAGGGAAGGGAAGGGAAAGGTGAAGGAGACCCATGCAACAGCTGCCAATCAGCCCCACGACCCCAAAGGAGTGACAGACAACCGCATCTGACCCCCGTCACTAACTGGGCCCCAGAGGGAGCCTCCACTGGCTGCAAACGAGGCCGACACGGAGGCGGAAGAGACGGATTCAAATCTGGAGGCAATTAGCGAGGGGGCACCAAGGCCTGTGGCGGGCGGGCGGGCGGGCAGGGGGGGGAGGCGAGTCCCCCCCCATCCCCTGGCATCGGCCCTCGCGGTGTCCCGGCTGGAAAAACACCCTCCCAGCTGCGTCCAAACCGACATTCGTAGCAACCCTCCAAGAGGGTGAAATAAATCTCGGAGAAAATGATAGGCTGAGAACGAAACTTTGGGGTTTTGCTAAGCCGGGCCAAACAATCCCGCTGGCCTCGGCCTGCTTTGAATTAAAATATTTTCTTTCCAAATTCACATTTCACCCCCCTCTTTCTTCTCCCCACCCGGAGCTTCCAAGCGAGCTGTGCCAGCCTGACGAACGGAGGCAGGTTTTCTTTTTCTCTGCCAGCCTCTTCCCCCCACACACACACACCGGCATGGCCAGCGGGCCCCGTTCTGCACCGTTTGGGGGTCACAAGGCGTTTCCTGGCAGAGGGGGGGAGAGCGAAGAAGGGGCACACGAGCTAGTCCTCGGCGTACCCCAACCGCAATTGGGGGCCAGGATTCCCCTCGCTAAGCAAGGGGCTTGTTAAACCAGCCGTGCCTGATTTTGCACCTGTAAAAAGCCTGAATCGCTGCAGTCATTAAGTGAATCATGTGGTCTTTAAATAAATCTGACTTTGTACATTGATCTTGCTTGCCGGAACACAGGCTGGGGAAGGTTGCAAGGTTCCTTCCTTCCTTCCTTCCTTCCTTTTCTCTTATCCCACCCTCCTTCCTTCCTTCCTTCCTTCCTTCCTTTTCTCTCTTATCCCTCCCTCCTTCCTTCCTTCCCTTCTTTCCTTCCTTTTCTCTCTTATCCCTCTCTCCCTCCTTCTTCCTTCCTTCCTTCCTTCCTTCCTTTTCTCTCTTATCCCTCCCTCTCCTCCTCCTCCCTCCTCCCTCCTCCTTCCTTCTAGCACTGATGAAGTTCCCTAGTTGGGTCATGAAATGTCTGCAAGGAAATCACCCAACTCAGAGAGCACCCAGGACCATATAGTCCTTCCTCCTCCTCCTCCTCCTCCTCCTCTTCTTCTTCTTCTTCTTCTTCTCATTCTTCTTCTCCTCTTCTTCTTCTTCTTCTTCTTCTTCTTCTTCTTCTTCTTCTTCCTCCTCCTCTTCCTGTTCCTCTTCCTCCTCCTCCTCCTCCTCCTCTTCTTTTTCTTCTTCCTCCTCCTCTTCCTCCTCCTCCTCCTCCTCCTCCTCTTCCTCCTCCTCCTCCTCTTCTTCTTCTTCTTCTTCTTCTTCTTCTTCTTCTTCTTCTTCTTCTTCTTCTTCTTCTTCTTCTTCTTCTTCTTCTTCTTCTTCATCTCTGAACTACAAAAGTTCTCTTCTATCTATAATTATCACCTTTCCTCTTTTTCTCTGCAGGAAACTGTTGAAATCCACCCTGGTCCTCATGCCATTATTTGGAGTCCACTATATCGTTTTTATGGCCATGCCCTACACGGAGGTTTCCGGAATCCTCTGGCAGATTCAGATGCACTATGAAATGCTGTTTAACTCCTTCCAGGTTCGCATCACTTCTACCCCTTCTTCAAAATCACCAGTTTGGGATTTAGGAAGGGTGGTGAAAATGCAACAAAGTGTTTTTTTCCATCCGTGATGTGCGTCCATGCCTTGCACTTCAACTCCCATAATCCCCACACAACCCAGCCAGGGGCTTCCGGTTTGAGCCTTGCGGGTTCAAGCTTGCAAGCTAGAATAGGCTCCTCATGAGATTTATGAAGAATTCATTCTTAATAATATTGAATTAAAAAGCACCCTCTGGAACGAACTACCCCCCGAGATCCGGACGATTCCGGATCTCTTAACCTTCCGCCGCGCCCTCAAGACATGGCTTTTTCAACAAGCGGCCCTGACCTAGGGTGAGTTTTAAATAGGGACAATTTTTAACGATTTTAAAGAGCCACAGCTACCAATATTTGGGTTTTAATTGGTTTTTAGTAGGGGAAATTTTTTGTATGATGTTTTAATACGCTGTGAGCCGCCCTGAGTCCCATGGGGAGAAGGGCGGCATATAAATCCTGTTAAATAAATAAATAAAATATTAGTACTTCTTAAATTAATTCTTAAATTTTAATATACATTATTAGTTACTATCCCTCTCTGAAGTCAAACCAGATTTTTACGAGCCTCAGTTGTAATTTCGTCGCTGCCGTCCATTCTCTCAATCTTCCTCCATTTTAGTGTCCCATAATCCCCCCTCCAGAAAAGATAACCTGGGGCACAATGGGAAATAAATCATGTCAAGCTAAATACTCCTTGACAAAGCAAAACTTGTGAACGCAACACACTGGGTGAAAGCCAATAAACTAGAACTTAACCAGATGACTTAGGCCAGGGGTAGGCCCACCTTGGCTCTTTTATGACTTGTGGACTTCAACTCCCAGAATTCCTGAGCCGGCATGGCTCAGCTTGGAAACCTCTCCCTTTCCCCTCAGCATGGCTGGCTCAGGAATTCTGGGAGTTGAAGTCCAGCAGTCATCAAAGAGCTAAGGTGGCCTATTCCTGAGTTACTAGGAAGATGAGGGGACTTCAACTCCCAGAATCCCTCTGCCAGCATGACACCCTATATCAGGAATAGGCCACCTTGGCTCTTTATGACTCGTGGACTTCAACTCCCAGAATTCCTGGGCTAGCATGGCTCAGCTTGGAAACGTCTCCCTTTCCCCTCAGCATGGCTGGCTCAGGAATTCTGGGAGTTGAAGTCCATGAGTCATAAAAGAGCCAAGGTTGCCTACCCCTGACTTAGGAAGACGTATGAGGGATTCTCCACTATACAGGTAGTCCTCACGTTACGACCAACATTGAGGCAACATTTATGCTGCTAACCGAAACATTTGTTAAGTGAGTTTTGCCCCATTTTACGACCTTTCTTGCCATAGTTGTTAAGTGAATCACTGCATTGTTAAGTTAGTCACACGGCCGTTAAGTGAATCCGGCTCCCCCATTGACTTTGCTTATCAGATGGTCGCAAAAGGGGATCACGTGACCCTCGGGAGACACTGCGACTGTCATAAATACGAGTCAGTTGCTAAGCTTCTGAATTAACAGAGGGATAGAATCCAGATCACGTGAAGTATTAATACCACTTTACAATGCCTTGGTAAGGCCACACTTGGAATACGGCATCCAGTTTTGGTCACCACGATGTAAAAAAGATCCTGAGACTCTAGAAAGAGTACAGAGAAGAGCAACAAAGAGGATTAGGGGACTGGAGGCTAAAACATATAAGGAAAGGCTGCTGGAATTGGGAATGTCTAGTTTAACGAAGAGAAGGACGAGGGGGGACATGATAGCAGTCTTCCAATATCTCAGGGGCTGCCCCAAAGAAGAGGGAGTCAAGCTATTTTCCAAGACGCCTGAAGGAAGGACGAGAAGCAACGGATGGAAACTAATCAAGGAGAGAAGCAACCTGGAACTAAGGAGAAATTTCCTGACAGTTAGAACAATTAACCAGTGGAACAACCTGCCTCCAGATTTGGTGAATCCTCCAACACTGGATGTTTTTAAGAAGAGACTGGACAGCCATTTCTCTGAAATGGTATAGGGTTTCCTGCCTGAGCAGGGGGTTGGACTAGATGACCTCCAAGGTCCCTTCCAACTTTACTATTATTATTATTATTATTATTATTATTATTATTATTATTATTATTATTATTATTATTATTATTATTATTATTATTACTTTTGATCATGGGGATACTGCGATGGCTGTAAGTGTGAAAAAGGGTCATAAGTCCCTTTTTCCAGTGGCGTTGCAACTCTGAACGGTCACTAAGTGAATTGTTATAAGTCAAGGACTACGTGTATGTTACCCACCCCATTGTGGATTAGGTCGGAGTTGGGGGTCAGCCATGTGAGGCATAAAAGCTATTCTTGGAGTCAATCCCAGAGTCCAATTTTATTCCTTTTTCTTCCTAGGGATTTTTCGTGGCAATTATCTACTGCTTTTGTAATGGGGAGGTGAGTATCCCAGTCTGCAGAATCAGAAGCACCAGGAAGGAAGGAAGGAAGGAGGAGAGGGAGGGAGGAGAGGAGAGGAGAGGAAAGAAGGGAATGGAGAGAAGGGGAGGGAAGGGAAGGGAAGAAAGCGAAAATAAAGAAAGGGGAGGGAAGGGAAAGAGAAGGGAACAGAGGGGGAGAGGAGGAAAGGAAAGAGTGAAGGAGGAAAGGAAATTAAAGAGGGAAGGAGGAAAAGAAAGGAAGGGAGAGAAAGGGAGGGAAAGGAAGAAAACAAAAAGAAAGAAAGGGAAGGGAAGGGAAAGAAGGGAAGGGAGGGAAGGAGAAGGGAGGGGAGGGAAAGAAATGGGAGGGAAGGGAAGGGAAGGAGAAGAGAAAAGAAGGGAGGGAAGGAGGAAAGGAAAGAAAAGGAAGGGAGAGAGGGAAGGGAGAAAAGAACAGAGGAACAGAGAAAGGGAATGAGGGAGGGGAGGAAGGAAAGTGGGAGGGGGGAGGGCATCCGTTCTTCAGAAGTGGGAATAGCTGTTCTAAAAAGCTGCCCACCACAAAAAACTGATCCCCCAATGAAGCATTTTTTCCTTCAAATATTCTGAGTCCCCTGCACAGACTTGCCAATGAAATAATCTGATTAATGGATCAGTTCTTTAGATTCCAGCTGCTTAATTGGGGAGGGGGTGTCTCACAAACCATTTTGACTGTGTTTTCGAGATATGTAAATGCGGGGGGGAGGAGGCTCACGAACTGCCCCAATGACTTCAAAAGTCCCTTCCCATCAACCCCCCCCCCCAAAGGACTCACACACCATCTAAGATCCCTTCGGGTTTCTCCAAATCGTTTTGCAAACTCCAATTTACGCCTCCCCAGAATGTCTTCCATTAGCGGCTCTGGGTCAGAACTTTCCACCAGTCCCATCCCATAATAACCATCCTTTTCTCCCCCACCCCTTTCCACACCCTCCCCAGGTCCAAGCCGAGATTAAGAAGTCGTGGAGCCGATGGACATTAGCGCTGGACTTCCGAAGAAAGGCGCGGAGTGGGAGCACCACCTACAGCTACGGACCCATGGTGTCCCACACCAGTGTCACGAACGTCACCGCCAAAGGGGGCATGCCGCTCCCTCTGAACGGCAAACCACCCTCGGGCGCCCTCAACGGACACCGGAATTTGCCTGGCTACATCAGGAACGGGTCCATTTCAGAAAACTCAATGGCGTCTTCAGGGCCTGAGCATTACAGCAAAGAGGAGGAATATCTGAACAGCTCCGGACTTTATAACGGCTACAAGCCAGCCACCCTGTTGGAAAAAGAAGAAGAATCTGTGATGTAAAGTGGACAAAATGAGATGAGGGTTAGAAAGCCTTACTTAGGGCTCCCTGAAAGCACTGAGGGTGGCAAGCAACTTCCAGTAAAATTGATCCCCATCACTGTTTTGGGGAGGGGGGGTTGACTCTCCACTCGATTCTTTGCAACGAGAAACGCCATCTTGCCGGAATGAAGGACGGCAACAATTTTGGCAACCCAGCAGAGTCCCTGCATTCTCCTGCCCTAGAAGGCAAGGGTGATCCCCATTATCTTTGGGGAGCACAGGGGAAAGGGGCCAGCGGTCCCAGGGCATTCAGAGTTTTTCTCCCTTGGGGGGGGACAAAAAGGACCCTGCCAGTAGATTGATCCATCCAGGAACATTTCAGAGCAGAACTTTCTTGCACCTTCGTGGTTGATTTGCTTTTAAGAGGGGGAAAAAACCCCACAATGCATGTTTGTATTCAGAGAGGACTTTTCCCCGCTCCAGCGCTGTAGCTAAATTCATGTTTTAAGCGACCAAGTGAAAACAAGGGTTTTGCAATCGAAAGAAAATTGAAATTATTTTCCTGCTTGTCCTCGATCCTGTTATCTTTTTGCTTCCGTCTTACCGCACGAGAAAATCATATTGTCCCGGGCTCTTATTCCTGGTCACTCAGCCCCCCCTCCCCCACCCTTCCCCCGAGCAAAGGCAACAAGAGATTGTCCAGCATTCATTGTGGAAGGATAAATTATGATTAGATCAATAATCTAGAGTCTGCTGTGCATAAAACAATGAGTCAGTTCAAAAGCAAAACAGAGACGATAATATTGTCTCTATCTCCGGAGACAGATCATTGATTCACAATAACAGGGAAAACCAACGCTGGAGAGAGAACTAAGTGGGAAGGAGAAGAGAGGCTGGATGCAGGCAACGGAGCTCTGGGTTTGGGTCCTTCATCCCTGCATCAGGATTATGAGCTTTGGAACCCACCCGGGATCAAGGGCAACCCGCTGAGGATCAGATGAGCAGGTTAAAAAGGTCGTGAAGAAGTGAGCGCTGTTTGCACTATCTCCAATGGAAAGAAGGGACGAGAGAGATTGCGATAGAGAAACGGGGATTGAGCCCTGTCCAATGGGGGCTGTTTTTCTCACCTCCCAAACATTGTGTTTTTCTACCTCTCCTATTCAGCGCCATTTGCAGTAAATTTTCAGGGGACTGTTTGTGAACTTGGGCCCGTCCCACAGTGATAGAGGCTGGGACGCTGGGGTTCTGGGGCAGCCAATACGTCGGTTTGCGCATGAGCGAGTAATGTCGAAGAAAAGTACATGGTGTTATCCCCAGCCTCTGTGACAGTGGGCCGGAACAAACTGCCTCCCCCCATCGACGCCTGAGAAACAGAAGACGGTTCTGTTTTCCAAAGATCCGGCTACAAGGAACCCAAAAAATTTTAAGTGGACAATTTTGCTTTTAAGGTTGTGCACGAAGGCACTGCTGCATTAAGGTGACCGTTTTAAAGCTGGTCCTCGTGGGCACCCCCCCCCCTCTCTCTCTCTCTCTCTCTCTCTCCCTCCCTCCCTCCCTCCCTCCCTCTCTCTCTCTCTCTCTCTCGCAAATGGATCGAGTCTTATTCCCACCAGGAACTGCCGTTCAATAAACAGACTGAGAATCAGCTAAAAGGGAATTTTTATTCTTTACAAAAATCCCAGACTTTAGCCATTTAAGCCATTTTCCTAGCATTGTACAACTTACAACTATAATTGGGACCAGAATTCCCACTGCAAGGTGGTGGTTAAGTGAGGGGCAACCGGTTTTATAACCTTTTTGCCACGGTTGTTAAGAGAAGCGTTGCAGTTGTTAAACGAATCACACAGTCATTAAATGAATCACACAGTGGTTAAGTGAATCCGGCTTCAGAAGCCGGTTGGGAAAGTTGCAACTGTTGTAAATACAGTTAGTCCTCGACTTAAGCATTCGTTTAGTGACCATTCAAGCTTACAAGGGCACTGGAAAAAGGACTGTTTTTCACATTTAACGACCGTAGTAGCTTCCCCATGGTCACATGATCAAAATTCAGGCGCTTGGCAACCGACTCATATTTATGACGCTGTCTCCCAGGGTCACATGATCCCCTTTTTTGTGACTTTCTGGCAAATGGTGGAAGCCAGATTCGCTTAAGAACTGTGTTAGTAACTTAACAAGTGCAGTGACTCATTTAACAACTGCGGCAAGGTGGTCATAAAATCAGACTAAAACTCACTGAACAAATGTCTCACTTAGCAACGGATATTTTGGGGGTCAGTCGCGGTCGTAGGTTGAGGACTACCTGGAAAGTGCCTGAATTTTGATCACATGACCACAGGGACGCTGCCACACTTGTAACTGCGAGGAGTGTTCATAACTCACTTTTTTCAATGGTGTTGTAACTTTGAATGGTCACTAAATGAATGGTTGTAAACCGAGGACTGTTGCAGACCAAGGAATCAGTTCATCCCAACTCCGGGATAAGGTATCCTGCTTAACTGAGCTGGGACTGATGACATAATTAATAATAATAATAATAATAATAATAATAATAATAATAATAATAATAATAATAAAGTTGGAAGGGACTTTGGAGGTCATCTAGTCCAACCCCCTGCTGAGGCAGGAATTTCATTTTCTACCCTGATTTTTAAATATTGTTAAGGCATAACATTGCTAGAAAACTTCTCCTCTTGTAAATAGGAGCACTGGGTTTGGCTTTTTAATAAACGCCCCCTTTTTAGAAAGTGCAGCTCCCAGAATCCCCTGCAAGGAAGCCATGACGGATCATCATCGCTGCTTCGATAAAGGACTCGCTCGCTCGGATTGAAGGCGTTCCCATCTTCAGGCGTCTCCAGGGGGGGGTGTTCAGAAAAAGTCATCCAGGGTTTGGCTGCACCATCGCAGAAGCCATTTTGACTTTTTTGACCCTCTTCTCCCCCCCACCCCCCACCCCCGCTTGCCCACCCGGAAGACTCTGATCATAAACACCGCTTGCAATAGCAGACAATTGGAGGGAAACAAAATCCCTCTGAAAATTAAGGTTGCGATAAAAAAATATTGGTTTTTTTTTTCTTAAAAAAAAAATAAGCTGGTTTCTGCCCTTGGAATTTGCACAATGGATGTTATATTGTCTAATAATTTATTCCACCGTGTTTTGTTTAATTTATGCTGCTTCGGTGAAATTTTGTGAAAAGGGTGGGGGAGCTGGGAAGGGGAGCAATAGGTGCTTTCTCCAGACTCTACACACCCCGAGCAAATGGACCCCCAAATCGCTCAAATTCTTACTCAACCCCCCCCTTCCCCGCCTTGCTGAAACCTCCTCTATGGTTGCAGCCATAAGGACTAGGAACTTCCCCATTTAAAACCAAATAAAAGCTGAGCTCTCTAGCTAATGCCAGCCTTCTGTGGTGTGTGTTTTTTACTTGTGTGTTTCCATGGGACACAAATACAGGCGGTCCTTGACTTACGACCTGCTAAGTGAGGTGGTTGTTAAGTTTTACCCTATCTTATTACCTGCCTTGCCACAGTTGTTAAGTGAATCACTGCGGTTGTTCACTTAGTCGCACGGTCACTAAGTGAATCTGGCTCCCCTATTTGACTTGGCTTGTCAGAAGGTGGCGAAAAAGGATCACGTGACTCCGGGAGGCTGTGACCGACGTAAATGGGGGTCAAGGGCCGAGTGTCCGAATTTTGATCACATGAAATGCTGAAACGGTCGTAAGGGTGAAAAAAGTCACACTTTTTTTCAGTGTGTAATAAGTCATTTTTTTTCACTGCTGTGGTAATTCTGGTCACTAAACAAACGGTTGTAAAGCGAGGACGACCTGTAGCACTCTCTCTCCTTCCCCCAGGGTTATATTGTAAAAATTGAGAAAGGAGGAGGAGGATTGTGGGGTCCCTGGTGCTCTCTGAGCTGGGTGGTCTCCTTGCAGATGTTTCATGACCCAACTAGGGAACATCATCAGTGCCAGAAAGGAGGAGGAGGAGGAGGAGGAGGAGGACTGTGGGGTCCTTGGTGCTCTCTGAGCTTGGGGGTTTCCTTGCAGACATTTCACGACCCAACTAGGGAACATCATCAGTGCTAGAAGAGAGAAGGAAGAGGAAGAGGAGGAGGAGGACTGTGGGGTCCTTGATGCTCTCTGAGCTGGGTGGTTTCCTTGCAGACGTTTCATGACCCAACTAGGGAACATCATCAGGGCTAGAAGTGAGGAGGAGGAGGAGGAGGAGGGGGAGGAGGGGGAGGAAGAGGAGGAGGAGGACTGTGGGGTCCTTGGTGCTCTCTGAGCTGGGTGGTTTGCTTGCAGACATTTCACGACCCAACTAGGGAACATCATCAGTGCTGGAAGGGAGGAGGAGGAGGAAGAGGAGGAGGAGGAGGAGAAGGACTGTAGACTCCTTGGTGCTCTCTGAGCTGGGGGGTTTCCTTGCAGACATTTCATGACCCAACTAGGGAACATCACCAGGGCTAAGGGGGCTGTAGAGAGGAGGAGGAGGAGGAGGAGGGAAAGGACTGTGGGGGTCCTTGGTGCTGAGCCTAATCAATTTCTTGCAGAAAGTCGCCATAAGTCCAGGACTAGCTGCATAGATTGATTTTTGATAGCTCAAAAAATCTCCCAGAGAGGAAAAGCTGGAATCAACAGCAATTTGGGCCAGGAATCCAGATCGCCAAGGCTGGGAATCCTCACCAGAGATTTTATTCCAGATTCTTCCAAGCAAGAAAACGTTGGCTTCAGCTTGCACCGCACTGTGCACACACACACACACACACACACAGACACACACAGACACAAACACAACAAGCACTGCTTGGCAAGCAGCTGCCAGCGCCCCACCAACGTTTAATTGAATTGTCATTTTGAAAAGCCAGATGCCCAGAATTTTCTTTCACAAGTTGTAAAATGACGTTCAAAACTCAGAATGTGGAATGTGAGGATCTGATCACAATTATCTCGTTGCTCAATCACAGCCCACTCTGGCCACTTTCCAGGCAACGTTTATTTACGGGTCAAAAAACAAAAAAC